TCCCCCTCACATGACTATAGATCCCTCAGCCAGCTTTGACGTTGTTGTTGGGTGCCATCAAGTTGATTCCTACTCATAGCGACCCCATGTGTTACAGAGTAGAACTAGCCCATAAAGTTTTTTTGCTGTAATCTTTATGGAAGCAGATCGCCAGCGCTTTCTCCTGTGGAAACCGCCAGCCTTCCAGTTACGGTTACGCCACATTGATAACCTGAAAAATCATCTTGATGGTATCGGCCTGTGGTCTAGACTGTCTTTGCCAGGTTCCTTGTGAGGGAACTTGTCAATGTTAGAATCTGAAGAGTCAATCTGGGCAGGAGAGGGTTGGATTGGGCAGAAATTTAGTAGATCCCAGGTGTCTTTTTTTTTTTTTCTTCCTAAATTTGGTTTTATTAAGGTATAATTGGCATACAATAAAATTTGTCAATTTCAAGGACAGCTTGAGGTTTGACAGACTTGTGCCATCCCATAATCACCACCACGGTGGTAAGATAGAACACTTCCATCATTCCAAAAAGTGCCCTCTTAACCCCTTGTGTTCAGTCTGCTCCTCCCCCACCCCGCTTCAGCCCATAGCAACTTCTGATCTGCTTTCTGTCACGTTGAGTTTACCTTTTCTGTGATTTCATATAAAGGAATCATATGATGTGTAGCTTTTTGTGTCTGGCTTTTTCGTGTAGCATAATGATTTTGAGATTCATTTATGACGTTGGGTGTATTAATAGAGTGTTCCTTTTTATTGCTGAGTAGTATTACATTGAGTAGCTATGCCACTATTTGTCTCTCTGCTCACCTGTTGGTGGACATTTGGGTTGTTTCTAGTTGGGAAAGCTGTGAACCTTCACGCTTATGTTTTAATTTCTCATTTCTCTTGGGTAAATACTTCCAGTGGGGTTGCTAATTTGTATAGTAAGTGTATGTTTAGCTTTATAGTAACTTGCCATACTCCATACCATTTTCCGAACTGGCTATACCATTTTGCATTCCCACCAGCAATATATGAACGTGCCAGTTGCTCCCCATCGTTGCCAACACTTGGTGATGGCAGTCTTCTAATTTTAGTCATTCTTGTGGGTGTGTAATGAGTGATACCTCAGGGTAATTTTGATTTGCATTTCCCAAAAGACTGATGATGATGAACATTTTTTCACAGACTTATTTGGCAAATCTGGGTGCTAGGTACCTTTCTGATTTCACTAGCAAATGTTTATTCAGAAAGGGATTAATTTATGAATCACATATAAATGCCTACTGTATGCCCATGATCATACTAAGTGTTCAGTCTTAGGGGTGAAAGAAAAGGACTGTGCAAACTTTTGTTTTTCTCCCCCAAAAAACCCTAGGCGCTGTGATGGCTGAAGAGGTAAACTATACATCAGGCAGGTCACAGAAAAGTTGGAGGAGGTGGGCGAGAATGTTGTCAACTGTAGTGTGTGTTGTCAGTGCCTTAGGACCTTGTTAAGCTCTTTGGATGCACAGGAGAGGGAGGTGGGGACAACATGGCAGAGCTGGCACTAAAGTTAGGCATGATGGAGAGTAGGTCTCAGCAAGGCCAGGGAGGTGTTGCCGGCAGAGGGAGCAGCGTTTACAGAGACATGGGGGGTAGACAGGTATGGCAGGAGGTGGCTGGTGGTTCATTTAGTGTTTTGATGACTGGGCTAGAATTTCATGTTTTCTTCCCAGGTTTCAGTCTGTTGGGGTAGGGTTTAGGAGGGGCCTGTGGTCAGGAGTCTTAAGAATAGCACAAGCCTCTGCCATCTTGTTGAGGGGTGTAAGGGAGAAGGTGTGGCGGAGACTAGCTGTGGAGCTGGAGCAGAGGGGTTTGGGGTGGGAGTAGTTGGGGGTCAAGGTAGATGCACCTGCAGCTGCTGTTTCTGGAAAGCTAGACAGGCTCACACGGGTCTGTGGGTTCTCAGCCTCCAGTCTGGGGAGCCCCTCTTATAAAGAGCGCTTGGGTCATAGGAAGCTGACAGCAGTTACCGGGGATTAGATGGCTGCGACTGTATTCTCTCCTGAGAGAAGGCTGGACCGTGGGGCCAAGTTGAAGAACTCTCTCTGCATTTGGGTCTC